AAAAAAAAAAAAGTTCAAGACAAAATTTCATTACTTATAATCTCAGATTAGGAGCCTGTTTTTTGAGAATTACTCATCAGTGTAAATGTCAGTATATTTTTAGGTGACGGATTAAGTAATGATGGTGATGACTGACTACCTCCCCTGTCCCCAAACTTGATCCTTTTAGCATTAATTTGACACATTTATAATTGATTTTTCACATTTTAAGCCTTTATATACTAGACTATAGTGTTGTCTTTAGGAACTGTGTCATTGATTATAAATTTGTATACTTTACACTTAGAGGCACCTTTTAACACATAACATAATTGGGTGAGATTTTAACAATTCACATCTATAAAATAGTGTTACTGTTTGAAAAGTAGAAGCAAACTTAGAGATGATCTTTTCCTAAACTTTAGGTAAATCCCAGAAAAATTACATAATAGGGTTATATTGCTTAGTTTAGCAGCAACGTTCTGAGCTGCAGATTTGGGTCTCTTAATTTTCAATCCAGTAAGTATTTCTTAGCCTGTGACAGTGATGCTAGCTTTGTTTGCATAAGGCAGTGGAATTTGTAGCAATATCCTCTTACCCAATTTTGGGGGTTCCTTGCTAAACTTCACGGTTTGGAAATCGAAATAAATATACCTACCTGCTGTTTATTTATTGTCCATACTTAAATAAAGGTCATACAGTAGCAGCAAAGAAAGTTTAACATTTTTAGCTGTCATTTAAAGTATTTTTGTAATTGATAAATTTGTATAGATACACAGAATCTCTGTTGTAGAAACAGGACATGTGAGGAAACTGAGGCACAGAGGTAAAGTGATTTCCCTGAGTTAATTATGGCCACCATATGGTCAGTAAGAGTCCAAAATCTCATCCAGTGTTCTTTATAGTTTGTCCTGAAATAGATGACTCATCTTCCTAATTTGTTTTTACGTGCCAGCTTGGTAGTTAAAAAGGTATTATTCTGCTGGATTTTAATTTTCATTACCTCTTGCCAATAATACAATCTTTTGTTTCGTGTCCTGCTTTTTTAATGGTATGTTTGTTGAATTGATTTGTATAGACCACATATGTTGGAAGGGGGGGCATCAGCTCTTCCTCTTTTGAGGTATTATGTTTTCAGTTTTATTGATGGCTGCCTTTTAATTTTGTATACTTTTTTTGGTTTTATTTCCTGTCCCCAGATTATATATTTTCACATTTTTAAAATGTTCACATTTAAATGCATTATTTGGTTGGACTTCTATTACCCTGGATTATGTGATAAAGTGATTTTTCCCTCTTCTGCCATCTCCACCCATTCTCAAGTTGTCAGGCAAATTATTAAATTATTTACTGAAATTTTTCCACATTGGTTTAAAATGTACCTCTATCAGGCTCAGCACCTATAGCTCAGCAGCTAGGGTGCCAGCCACATGCACCAGAGCTGGTGGGTTCGAACCCAGCCTGGGCCTGCCAAACAACAGTGAGAACAACAACAAAACCCCATCGTCTTCCTAATTTGTTTTTACGGTGCCAACTTGGTGGTTAAAAAGGTATTATTCTACTGGATTTTAATTTTGTTCCCTCTTGCCAGTAAGACAATCTTTTGTTTCATGTCCTATATTTCTAATGGTATGTTTGTTGAATTGAACTCCCCCATGGGCTTTGTGGTGGGTGTCAGTAGTCCCAGCTATTGGGGAGGCTGAAGCAAGAGAATCACTTAAGCCCAAGAGTTAGAGGTTGCTATGTGCTGTGACACCACGGCACTCTACCAAGGGTGACATAGTGAGACTCTGTCTCAAAAAAAAAAAAAAAGTACCTTTATCAGACAACAATCACTTACAGAGTTTTATCTAGACTTTGCTGTATTTTTTTAAAATATCTTGTTGAAGGATGATGTACTACTAATCTAGTTTTGTTACATCTTGTGATTGAGTTGTGTAGACAGGTTTTGAAATTTATTAAAATTGGGTTTTTTCTCAAATCTATATACTCTGTAAAAGTAAATACTTGATCAGAGTAGAGGTTTTTGCAGGTTCCTTAATATGACATCTCTAGGTATTAAGGAGGATGTTCCTTATACCTTTGCAAAGGGGAATTTTCTAGTGAATTTCACCTTTTAGTGAAATTTCCTAGTAAATTCATTGGGGGTGGGGGTTATCTATTTTGTTAGAATGTGACTAAAGGAAAGGGCATGGAAGAGCATCTGGTCCAGTCTTTATTTTTGTTATTTTTCCAACTGAGACACACAGAAGAGTCTGAAATTACTTGAATTCTAGGCCACTTTGCATTTATCTGCATCATGCTGTTTTCTAGATGACATGCAGGCAGTCCCCAGGTTACAGATGAGATAGGTTTTATAAATTGGTTCTTAAGCTGAATTCGTGAATGTAAGATGCCCTGGGTGCATTTTACCTGTTACCTTTATTAGCTTCTGTAAGTGCAAGTTGTATATTAGTCAGATATTTGTAACTTGGGGACTTGCCATAGTAGCTTCCATTCCTAAGTGCAAGTTGTACGTAAGTTGGATGTTTGTAACTCTAGGACTACCTGTAATGTGGATTGATTGGGCTTAATCTCTATCTGGAAGAGAAACTTAGATTTAAACATTACTTTCTTATTAAAACCTCAAAACTTGGGTCAGCACCTATGTTCTCAGTGGTTAGGGCACCAGCCACATACACTGAGGCAGGTGGATTCAAACCTGGCCCAGGCTTGCTAAACAACAGTAACAACTACAACACAAAAATAGCCTGGCATTGTGGCGGGCACCTGAGTCCCAGCTACTTGGGAAGCTGAGGCAAGAGAATTGCTTGAGCCCAAGAGTTTGAGGTTGCTGTGAGCTCTGATGCCATGGCACTCTACTGAGGGTGGACATAGTGAGTCTCTGTCCCCCCTCCCAAAAAAAAGGACATTAACAATTTTAGATTTTAAAGCATAATGTTAATTGTATCTTACACATCTTATTTAATTTTATTTGAATTTTAGAGGCAGGGAGTAATGCTGCTTGATTTGACTTTCTAATTGTAAGACCAGGTATCTTTCCCATTATATTGTAGTTTTGTGGATAGGAAATTGCGATTAAAATGCTTCTAATTCACATATTACTCATTCCTTTCCCTCAA